CATGCTGTCCGGATATGAAATAAAGCTGCTTTTCTCAATAAGCATGTCATGAACATTTCCAAATCAACATCATTTTTAATGGCTACATGGCATTTTCTTAGCCCTTATTTTGGGCATCTGGATTATTTCTAATTGTTTGCCATTAAATATACTTGTTACGTCCATCTTAGCACTTTTCTTTGCTTATTTATTTAGGGATAGAGTCCTAGAAATGGAATTGTTAGAATAACACGTGTTCCATTTTTAAGGCAGGTTTTACCATTCACACTCACCAGAGTATGTGCCTGTTTGCTTATACTCAGAATAGCGTAAACTTTTATATTCATTTTTGCTTGTCCTTTTTCTTAGGTTTTAAGGAACTTTCAGAACCAAGGGACTCAGCCGTCCTGCCTGCCTCACAGTCCCTGGTTGAGACCTTAGTATTCCCTTTTTTTATGTGCAGAGTGGCACCCTGAAGACGGCCCTGCTCGACTACATCAAACGCTGCCGCCCTGGGGACAGTGAGAAGCACAACATGATCGCCCTGTGCTTCAGCATGTGCAGAGAGATAGGGGAGAACCACGAGGCCGCTGCCCGCATCCAGCTGAAGCTGATTGAGTCTCAGCCCTGGGGTGAGCAGGGCAATGCTGTTGGCCAGGGAAGGGTCTCAGGATGAGACCCAGGCATGAGACTGACTAATACCACCTCAGCTTCTAACAGCCTCAGTGGGGCCCCAGCTGGACAGGTAAAAGGAAGGGGACTTGGAAGACAGTGCCCTTCCTGTAGCCTGTGCACCTAGGGGGTCGTCCATCAGGAACCAGTGTGTATGTTGATGCTGTGTAAGCCTGCCTTGATGTTTCAGAGAAATGAACTAGATGAGCACTGAATCCTAGTCCAGTGTGTGCATTTTTGGCTTAATACCCTTTACCTGAGTGAGACATACCTGCCTCCCTGTAAACACCAGCCCAGGATCACCCCAAGTGGGGTGGGTGGAGAGGAGCCAGCCTTGGGAGTCCGACACACCCATTCCCTTTACTCCCCTGCAGAGGACAGCCTCAGGAACGGGCACCAGCTGAAGCAGCTGCTGCTGAAGGCCCTGACTCTGATGCTGGATGCGGCAGAGAGTTATGCCAAGGTAACCAAGGGGCATCTTATTCCAGACTGGCTTTGGGGCTTGGTGTCTGCAGTAGGAATTATTTTTTCTCTGGGCTCTTCTAAGGGGAGGAAGTCATGGACCAACTGGGGGTGAAAGGGGTGAGTTCAGTTGCTAGATGGTTCACAGGGGAGATGACAGCAAGTCTCTACCTGTGCCAACCTCCACCCTTGTCCCTCAGGACTCCTGCATGCGACAGGCCCTGCACTGTCACCGGCTCACCAAGTTGCTAACACTGCAGATTCACTTCCTGAACACTGGCCAAAACACGATGCTCATCAACCTAACCCGCCCCAGGCTGATGGACTGCATCATGGCCCTACCCCGGTTCTACCAGGTGAGAAAAAAACTCTAGCCAGCACTGCCAGCATCCTCTCCTGCTGTTCCTCTTGGGACCCAGAGGTTGAGTGACTTGCCTAAGGTCTCAGGGCTAGTGACAGACCCAGGAGAGTTCGGTTCTCCTGACTTAGCCGTCTGACATACCAAATTACCTTTCTATGGTAGTGTTTCTTACTAGCATGTTGTTTGGACAAAGGTTGGAGAACGGTGAGACACACCGTTGGGCCAGCAGACACCTTTGCTCCTTCAAACAGTTAAGGTTCAGAGAAACATCCCTGCTAGTGGTCCCATGAGCATCTGTCAGCACCAGCATTTTACAGAATGGTGCACCCTGGTTAGCACAGGGAGAAGGGCTTCTGGGAGCCTGGCTCTGGCCCTTTAATGAGGGATGTTTATCAGGGAATCAGCCCTTTCACAGTTCCTTATACAGTTGAGTTAGTGGGAAAAATATTTTTTCTCAGTTTCACTAATCGATTGTGAGGACGATTAAAAACACTTAAAGGTGTTTAAGAGAAGGGAAATGTTCAACTAACACCAATTCTGATAGAGCCTTTTAATGTGATTGGTAATGATCACATTCACTGAGAGTATATCGTCGTTTTCTAGAACAATTTTATGTCAGATAAGCTCTAATGGTGTCCTTCCCTCCATCCTTTTAAGGCTTCTATTGTGGCTGAGGCTTATGATTTTGTTCCTGATTGGGCTGAAGTTCTATACCAACAAGTGATTCTTAAAGGAGACTTTAATTACTTGGAAGAATTTAAGCAGCAAAGGTTATTAAGATCCAATATATTTGAAGAGATTTCAAAAAAGTAAGTACTAAAATGCCTCTGCTTTAGTTAAGGCATGGTTAAATTTTATGGCTAAGTATAACATGCCTGTAGCTACCCCTCTGCGTGCGACGACAAGAATCCCCCCAGAACGAGAGAGCTTTTAACAAATTTATGCAAACAGATGAATGAGAAGAACAGTTTGCTTATGGTGCTCTGTACTTAAAATGGGAGGACAGCTGCTCAGCTTGCTCGAGGTGCGAAAAACTATAATCAGAGGTCCCCCTTTGAACTGAACTTAATCTAATTAAGGTGAGGATTAAGATACTCATTTTTAACGATTAATTTCAGTGTTCATCAGGCACCCCATAATGCTAGTCTTAAAAATTCCAGACTTGTATCTGTCTAGCACTTTCCTTGTAGGTAGTCATAAGTCAGAGCTGACAGCCCTCACTCAAGACAGTTTCTTAACCTGTACCTTCTTGTTTGTCTAGATATAAACAACATCAGCCTACTGACACGGTTGTGAAAAACCTGAAGAAGTTACTCACATATTGTGAAGATGTCTACTTGTATTACAAGCTGGCATACGAACACAAATTTTGCGATGTTGTTAATGTGCTCCTGAAGGATCCTCAGACAGGCTGCTGTCTAAAGGACATGCTAGCAGGTTAGATGGGTTCAGATGACATGAGCATGGTTACTACCAAGATTTCAAAGTTGCCCGTTTTCTTGTACTGAAATGAGGTACGGACAGATGTTTGTGATCAGAGTAGAATAATGCATTGGGGATCTTTGATGTCCAAGTTATAAAACCCCAGAACTGTTCATACCAACCCTTTGTGAACTGTGGGTAAAGAATGAATCTTCACAAGGAAATTGCTATTTTAAAAGTGACTGTTCCTCTGTACCATTTTGTATAGACATTGGTATTAAGATCAAAAGTTCCATCTTCCTCAGGATGGCTTCTACTTTAGGAGATGATACAATATTGATTAAAGAATACCTGTGCCTGCAGATTCCAGTTTCAAAGGAATTTAATATTTACACAGTTAAGGAACAGATGATACATTTCCATTAGTTAGAAACTGATCTCTATAATAAAATAGATTTTAAATTCAGTGCATGTCATTATTAACTGCTAAGGAAATCTTAGCCCTTGTCTGCCTTAAAACAATCTTTATTTGCTGTAATTATTGCTGTGTAATCACTGCTTTCTGTTAATTCCTCAAATCATTTGAATGGTCCTGTCTTCCACTTAGTGGTCTACAGAGCTCTGATTGAGGCTCCTACTTCATATGTAAGAGAAATTAAAAACATTTTTGTTCTGTCCCTACTTTTAAGTCTGTGACAATTNAGAGAGAGAGAGAGAGAGAGAGAGAGAGAGAGAGAGAGAGAGAGAGAGAACGCGCCAAATTTACTCCAGGAAAAAAAAAATGCACTTCTCACTCCCACTTAAGCAATGTGAGTAATGTTTCCTGGAATCCATTCCACTTTCCAAATTTGACAGATCCAAGGGAGGCATTTTACTGATGTTTAGTGAACAAATGAAATAATAAAAGGATAAAGTTTTATTTAAAAAATAGCCTTCTGTATCTCTTCTCAGTCCAGTTCAACAATGTAACATTTACTGAGTACCAGCTTTGTCCCAGGTACTCTAAAAACCAGGGATATGGCGACCAAGTCAAGCAGCAGTTCCTGGAGCTCACAGACTAGGATGTGATACACAGGAAGAGCCAGACTGACGGGGTCAGGAAAGGTTTTTGGAGGAAGTGTCCAAATCAAGGCCTGAAGGATTATTCAGAGCTGCTCAGTAGTTGGTAGGTTTGGGGAGGGCTCCACAGGTGCCAAGGCCCAGAGGACATAGCGTGTATTAAGGCGGGGAACCCTTTTTCTATCTTCAACACTGCAGGTATTTCCCCAGTTTGCCTATTGTGCTTACAGTGATTGTGTGTAATAGTTTTAAATTGGTATGAGATCAGAGCTTTATTAATCTGGAAAGCCGTCAGACGTGCAGGGCATATGGCACTTGATTAGGCCCTTTGGAGTCTTGTTGACAGGTGCTCCATCAGTTTGTCTGCAGTTTCTCCATCTTTAGAAAGCAGGGTTCCTTGTTCTCATTTGTAGGGCCTCAAAATGTCACTAGGCAAGTCACTACATGACTGGTTTTGAAGAGATTATGCGGTCAGTGAGAGAAGAATTTAGACAGTCAAGGAGCTGTCCCAGAGCTGGAGCTGGTGATGTCAGGGTTCTCAGAGGACTGGTGAGACAGGCCCCATCTGTGCCAGTCCCCTTCACCCTCCTGCCAGGCACAGAACTAGACAGTGGGTGGCCAGGGGTCACAGTCGTGTCTCACCAGTGCCCACTTAACCAGCCACAGAGCTGCTGATCCTGGCCCATCACTGCTTCACGCTGACATGCCACATGGAGGGCATCATCCGAGTCTTGCAGGCTGCCCGGCTGCTCACAGACAACCACCTGGCCCCCAACGAGGAGTATGGGCTGGTGGTAAGTAGCCCCCTCACCCCTACTTTCCATCCTGAGGAAACCTTTGAGAGAGCAGATAGGCTGAGGACCAGCTCAGCGCTGATGTGGTCATAGGCAATTTGCCCATTGGGACACCACTACCTACATACATGGTAGCTGGCTGGACAGCTCAGCCCTCTGCCCAGGTTATGATTTCTGTCAGAATCAAGTCACCCCAGAGAAGCCCAGAAGATCTCTGCCATGCTCCAGGGCTATCATACCCTCTTGCCAGAACAGTTAGCTTTTCTAGAGGACTAGGACAGCTGTATTTCCCCCCAACACAAGGTTCAGACCTACTTCTTATGTCTGAATTGTAATGAGCTGACAAGTCAAGCCTCCTGCGCCTCCCAAAATGCTCTGGGCTTGAAACTGAACTGACCGCAGTGGCTGAGCAAGCCACTGGGCACTGCAGTACTGAGTGGCGAGAAGGTCAAGCGTGCCTGCCCAGGAGGATGGCACTTCAGCACTTGATAGTCACGCTTATAGATGACAGAGGAGGGAACAGCCCCACGCCTAGCACTTCTGAATCCCCGCGCGGCCCCTTTTCGGGTACATGGGAGCAGGGGCTAAGCGTGGAAAGCTGGACGTCAGCCCTTCTTCCCCCGAGCTTGGTATCTGAGAGCAGCCTTGATGAGGGTAGTGGTCTGGCTCCCAGGACTCCGGTGATGCTGATGCAAGCTGCCCTCTCTCTTCCCAGGTGCGGCTCCTCACTGGCATTGGAAGGTATAACGAGATGACATATATATTTGATTTGCTGCATAAAAAACACTACTTCGAAGTGCTGATGAGGAAGAAGTTGGACCCGGTGGGTGTACAGTATTTTGAGCTCTAAGATGACATGTATTGTTGACATTCAGGAGTCTCAGACTTTCTCAGGAATACTCCCGGTCAGGGGGGGCCTGGGATACGGAGGGAGGGAGTTAAGGACCTCCATAGGACACACACTGTAACCAGTAGCTGAAGGTTCGAGTTCAGACCAAGCAGCGATTATGCTGACAGATGCTAAATAGGGAAGAAAATTAGTTCATGTGCCTCCACCTCAGCTGTCAGCGGCCTCCACTGTCCTAACGCCTGCTCTGACAGGTGCAAAAGCCTTCCCTTAGAGCCCTGTGGAAATGGATTGGCCAGCTCAGAAGGCCGCACCAGAGAGCTTTTAGAGTGGACAATTTTCAGAGGACCATGAAAACGTTTGTTGCTGAGAGCTATTAGGAAGCGAATGCCAAAGCCTGGGCTGGGAAAGCTGTGGTGCTGTTTCTGGCGACGACCAGGAAGGAGACTTGGAAGCTAAGGCCTGACCTGCCAGACCCACTGGGCTCTGGGCACTTGTCTGTCCTCCACATGTGGCACCAACATGTCACTCACAGAGCCTGTTTCCAAGTCATTCATTGCTTCAGCCCATTCATCTCTGAAGATTTAAAAACCATAGTACACTTTTGGCTTCTGGGAACTTAGGCCCAGCCAAGCAGGATTAAAAGACAAAGCAGAAAAACTCTCAATGCTGGGCTGATTTCAGGCCAGGCCAGCGCAGTCATCAGAAGAGGAGCAAGTCCGGGGCACCTGGGATCCGCCCAAGGGTATTTAAATTGTTTTTGAGGCATTTTTGTTTCTGTATTTAAATAGTCTTTTAATACTTTTTTTTCCTCTGATTACAAAAGTAATGCATATTCAATGTTAAGACACTTGGAAAACAGAACACAGAAAAAAGCCCTCTGTGTGTATCTACCATCTGGAGATAGCTACTGCCAACAATTTGGTATATGCCCTTTCTTTGCACACGTACCCACGTGTGTGTGTGTGTGTGTGTGTGTGTGTGTGTGTGTGTGTGTGTNAGGGCAGTGTCACTGGCCCTCATATGTGGGATCCGAACCGGGGCCCTCTGGCGTCCCAAGCCAGTTCTTAACCATCGCGCCACTCGGCCGGCCCGAGACTGCATTCTTTTTAATGGCCACAAGGTATTCTGTGTGGATGTACTATGATTTATTTAATAATGCTTTATTGATACACATTTAAATGTTTCCATTTTATTTTTGCTATTAGAAACAGTGTTGTGTAAATATTCTACTTTTTTTTTTTCCCCAGTAGAAATTATTCTTCTATTTCAGGTTAAGAGCTTCATATATATCATATATATACACATATGGTCAGGAGTGGATTTTAATTTTATTATGCCTTTGAGGCATCTATCCAGATGATCCTTGGTTTTTGTGATTTGTATTTTAGAAAGATTCTGATGAGTGGGACACATTGACTGGGGACGAGGGGAGGCTGGCAGCAGGAGACAGTAACAGCCTCTTAGATGCAGGGTGATGAAGGCTGGAACTAAGGCAGAGATTGGAGGGATGTTTTGGAGATACAGTCAGCTAGACCTGGTGACTTCTCTGAGACTGGGGCAGGGTGTGTGTGGAGGAGAGTGTAGCGGTCATTTTTGGTGATGACCCCGGGTGTTCAATCAGGGGCTTTGAGTCTTTTGTGGCCTAAGAGGCCTTTGAAGTATTTCCGCCTGGAATTTCCTGGAAGAAGACCCTGAAAGAAGTTTAAGTGGGGTGTGGGCCCTGTCAGAAGTGGTCCCAGACCGAAGGAGAGCCATGGGGGGTGCAGTGCAGAAGCTGTGGGCAGAGATGTGGGGTCATAGTGGCCTGGGGAGAGGCCTTAACTTGCCAGCTTAAAGCCCCCCTCAGACCTGTATTTGCTTCCAGCTTCAAGTTTGGATAGTCAGTCATTTGTGATGCTGCCCCCTAGTGATGAAGTGGTGACTAACCTGGAAATTCTGACAAGCAAATGCCTCCATGGGAAGAACTACTGCAGGCAGGTCCTCTGTCTGTATGAACTTTCCAAGGTAGGTGTCAAAGGGTGGGGCCTCCCCAGGCCGGCAGGCTCCCTCTGAGAGGGAGGGAAGTGGGGAGCTGGAAGTAAATTTTGGACGTTGCCAGGTCAGCCCGTTATATGGTAATCATGGCCTGGGAGTGGAGCTCTTGTCAGGACGTGGCCCCTGTCAGTCCATCCCTGGGGCCACATCCTGGGGACGTGGGGAGGACACCAGGCCAAGTGCTACGGCACTTTGAGTCCTGGTGTCTACAGCTCAGCCAGCCAGACGTTAATAGCTAGACATTTCACTTTTCTGGGCCCCTGGTTCTTGATCTATAAATGATTTGACCACCAGGGTCCCTTCCAGCTGTAATATCTTAGGTTTTGCTTCAGTGTTATTTGGTACTTTGCATATGGGAAAGAGCCCAAAATAAGTTTTAAAATAAAATAAAATGGAAAATGATGACCCTAAAGACAGCGGCCAGAGCAGCCAGGACTTGCTTGTGACTTTTTGTTGACTGAAGGAAAGATCAGTAAATTCTAGGTAAAGTGCAACAGTGGAAGAGTATAAAGCCCAGCGCCAAAGCCCTTTGCTCAGAGACTTCTGCAAAAATGGAGGGTTTTGCTGCTGCCATGGAAACAACAGGAAGGGGCTCTTCCCTTCTATACAACTTTCTCACGTTTCGTAACATTTGTAAAGCTCAGTGTTCAACACGAGATAAGTCATGTGATGCTTTCTGTAGACAAGCCTTCCTCTTGCTTGGATTCAGCTTTTGGCGAGGCGGTAGGAAGGGCTAGATAGTGTTTGCTTCCTCAAAGGTTCCTGCTCAGGGTGAGGGACCTTCAAGCTCGGAAAAGGATGGAGTCTGTCCACGTCAGAATTCAGAGAGGCTGGTTTTTTCCTGGTTCCCCACAATAGCTCTGACTTTTCCTTCCTCTCAGGAGTTGGGCTGTTCCTACACACATGTCGCCGCCCAGGATGGTGAGGCCGTGCTCCGAGCAATCTTGGCCTCTCAGCAGCCTGACAGATGCAAGCGAGCCCAAGCATTCATCAGCACCCAGGGCCTTGAGCCAGACACGGTGGCTGAGCTTGTGGCCGAAGAGGTGACCCAGGAGCTGCTGTCCCCACCAGAGGGAACAGGTACCCTCCCCTCCAAGCTCCCCCAGCCTTTCAAGCCACTGTCACAAGTTCCCACTGTTATGGAGTTGGACGATGTGCTCATACGCATCTTGCATGGTACCCTCTCAGGTTGCCAGGTTGCACTTGTCAAAGGAGAACACATTGCATTTATTGTTTTCGCTTTTTTAAAAATTGTTTTATGATTATGCTTAGAGTGGCTGTGCCTTCCTCTGAGCTCATGAACTCCTGTCCTGTACAGTGACCACTAGACCAAGATTCTTGGGCTCAACAGGAGGAGAGCTGCATTGGGAACTCCTCCAGCGTGACCTGCCCAGGCCTAGGCAGAACGGGCCTCCTGGTGTGGGGCTCCTCTCTCTCAACTCTCCCAAGGTAAAATCAGCGCCTTTCTCCACATCTTTCTGTACAGGACAGAAACAGATGTTCACCCCAGCAGAGGAAAGCCAGACATTCCTTCAGCTGACCACTTTGTGTCAAGACCGCACATTAGTAGGCATGAAGTTGTTGGATAAGATTTCCTCCGTTCCCCACGGGGAATTGTCTTGCAGTAAGTTCTTGGCCATTTTCTTACATGTTCGGGGCCCAAGCAGGTCTTCAAGAAGTCTTCCAGAGTTAGTCTTTCCGAAACTCAACTTGGATCCTTGTTCCTGCTCCGGATCCCTACCCCTCCAGCATAGTTTATAAGTTCTTGGTAGAAAGCCCTAAGTTCATTGAAGAAAATTTAGAAAATGTATATGGAAAAGTAGCCCCAAATTTAAAATCAGACAAAAAGGTAAATCTTTAACATTTGGCATATTTCTATTTTATATTACCCTGCAAAGTGGATTGTTATTTTCCCCATTTTAGAAGGAAGCTGAAGCTTAGAGAAGTTGATTAATTTATAACTATTAAATAGCAGAGTTGGTATTTGAACCCACTCTGTGTGATTTAAAAGCCCAAAAGTCCTGTTGCTCACTTTCCACAATGTCTAGAGTTCCTTGTGGGCCTTCAGTAGTGTGTGTCCCTCTGATCCTTTTCTATGCAAGTCTATAGATTTTTATTTTTCAAAAATGGCATTATACTATAATTACTTTATGAATATGCTATTAACATTTTTCCATGATATTGAATATTCTTCTATGTCATTTTTAATGGTTACACATTATTTCTCTTATATGTAATTAAAAATTGTTTACCCTATTGTGGGACCTTTACATTGCTTTCAATTTTCTGCTGTTTTAAAACACTGTAACAAACATCCTTATGGGCAAATCTATGTGCACATCCGTGATTATTTTCCTAAGATAAATTCCTGAATCAAGAGTATGTCCATTTTTTTTTTTTTTTT